ACAGAATACTTCCAGAATCTCTTAGAATGTATCATTCAATAAAACATATAGTGACATAATCCTGTGGTAACCTATAGGATTAGCTGTGTGGGCCTGTCTACAATATGTTGGACCACTCCCATGAACAGTATCATGACACACCCCATCCATTTAATCCTGCTGTGTGTGTACCAAATGATGAAAAAAAAGTAGCATAACTGCTCTACCAAGCACGCTCAATCTTGAGCGTACCATCGGCATGCACCAAAAAACCAGCTGCATTACATTTTTTTGAATTTGGCATGAACAGAGCAGGAGAGGGCTGGGCAGGAATGTTTTGACAGTGCTGCTCCTCTACATACTGACATGGTGCAAATATGCTCTATTGTTTTTTATAATTCTTTATATAGATAGGGTGACCATACGTCCCAGTTTATCTGGGACATTCCTGGATTTCATAGGCCATCCTGGCATCCCGGCTTGGTGAAAATTGCAAGAAGAGTCCCAGAATCGGCTGCTGCAGGCAGAGGCAGGAGGACAGGGGAGCACGGTACAGTCTGGCATGGAAGCAGAGTGGCCTGGTACACCAGGCAGGCAGGCATTGCTGCTGCCACCTGCACATACCCATCTGGGCTCTTCCTGAGCAATGGGTGGAGGTGGGTGGGAGGTAGGCTGAGCTGGGCACTGCTCCAGTCCACCCCCCTTGCTCCCACACCGCAGCAGCAGTGGCAGCTGCCTGCCCACCCACCCATCATACCAGGCCACTCCACCGGACTGTGCCCTGCACCCTTGCCTACCTGCTTCTGCCTGCAGCAGTTCCACTAGTGGAGGCGATGGGAAGGGCAGTGTCCCAGATTTCCTTAAAAATTATATAGTCACCCTATGTATAAACCTTGTTGTGGTTTCATCCCCACTAACTGCCTGTTCCAAAAGGCAGTTTCCATGTATTCTAGTCTTAACATGTTCTTCAAGATTTAGTACTGGATTTGCCAATGTGCTGTAAAGATGGCACAATCTGGTCCTCAATCATTTTGTTTATTAATAATTTAACCCTTTGTGTACTACTAATATAAAAATAATTTTACAGCACTTCATAATCAGCATCACTGGACTTTCTAATTCTCTCTCTCTCTCTCCCTAAGTGATCAGACTGGTACTTCATTTGATTGTACCTATCTGCAGAAAAGCTACTATTCCTCAATCTGAGAAATATCTTCAATAGGCCACACTGAATGTTTCCGGACTTCTCTTTTTAAGATGTATCAAATATTACACTTGCTGGAAATTAGTGAATCTGGCCTGCTTTCAACATATACAAGTCCTCAATGATATTATGTTCTTCAAGCCATTAGAATCTGCTCCTACACAAGACAAAAGCAGCTAAAGAGGAATGGTGGGATTATGTTACACTGCATGTCCCTAAATGGCAGTTTTCCAGTTGTGTGTTATTTTTGGCATCCATGCACAAGATGCGATTCTGTTACCCCTGCACTATGTCCATGCACTGGCTTGGCCAGTCTAGAAAAATGGAGGAGTTGAAAAGCTATTCCATTTTTAGCCCCAATAGCTAAATGGCTAAAGCACTTGCCCAAGAAATAGAAGACTTAAGTCCCTTGCCCAGAGAGGACTTGAACCCTTTCTTTCTGACTTTTTAGTACGGTGCTCCAACAACCATACCATGTGTTAGGCATTAAACATACCCTCTTTGGAAGCTGAGCCATTACAGTTTGCATTTACTAGTTACTGGATAAAATCCATGGAAAGCAGTGTGATGGGGAATTTCACTGACAGCAAGGGTCCAGGACAGAACCTAAGGCCTGCTCTCACCCAGAGCTGCATCCATCTCACTGATCAATGTACCCTCCAGCTTGTTCATTTCCTCCTGGCTCTACACAGCTCCTTTTCTTGACTTCCAGATTTAAAAGGAATGCTGGAAAAGGGCCTGGATAATGCCTTACGTGTGGTGGAGTGGTGACTGCTATGCCGGATATCAAAGGGACAAAGGTTCAAACCCCTCTAAGTAAGGAGCTTAGAGCCCAGGTTCAGGAATTCTTCTTGGACCTGCTCAGCTACTGGGGCTAAAATATGGGAGGAACTCTTCCTCCTCCTCTCTCCACACCCTTTAGTCACAGGTTTTTGTCTTACTATGTTTTCCTGACTTACACCCACTTGCGCATCCACAATGGGTGTGTACATGAAGCCACATACCTACATGGCCAATGCGCAAGGGTGGATCCAGAGAGAGTGCAGTGGTACAGTCATACCCGTTTGTGGCCACGCTGTAGGACCAGCAGCTGGGAACTTTTCTTAATTTCCCAAAGCAGGTAAGTATCTCCCCCCCGTTCAACACCCTCCTCTCTTCCCCTCCATCCTCAGCAGCACACTCTCTCTCCTTCTGTTCTTCCTACCCCCACCCACCACTAAGACTGGCTGATCTGGGGCGGACTGAGGCAGAAGGCTCCAGAGCCACTTTTATCCCACTCTAGCTGGGCTACGCAAGGAGCCAGGCTCAGCCAGGGACAGCAGTGGTGGCAGCAGGTGAGTTCCTCCTCCCTGCCCAGTCTCCTTGGTTGTTCCCCACCATCCTGACACCACTGCTGACCCTGACTGAGCCCAGCTGCCCATGCAGCCACTCCCCACCGCCCCAGTTAGAGTGAGACAGGAGTGGCCAGTACAGCAGCAGTGGTAGGCAATTCTCCTCTTCCTGCCCTCAGAGGCATAAGTAGAGAAAGGGGAAACAAAAGGGGAAAAAGACATGTCACTGAGCACAGAGGGGAAGTGGGAGGGTGTTCAGGAGGTGGGGGAAAAGATTTGTATTTGTTTCCCAAGGTATATTCCATCTTTGAACATTTCTGTACAATAGTTTCTGTTCAATTGAAAATTAGAATGAATCAAAATCCACCCAAGGTACAGCTTTCTGTTGCAGAATAATGCAAGATACTTCTGAAACCCCCAAATTTGTTTTGTTTGTTTTTATATATATATATATATATATATAGTGTATGTCTATATGAATAGAAATAACACAGAGAAATGCACATTTATTACTAAAATCTGTTTCAGTTCAGTTTCTACTGATAAAGCAGAAGTACTAAATAAAAAATATTAAGTCTTACCTGAAAGTGTAAAGCTGACTAATTTCCGAGAATGCTGACCAGAAGCACCTTCCTCTGTGCCTTCCATCCCCATCTGAAGAGAGGGAAAAATAAAAGTGCATCATGTATCATTACAGTTTTCATTTATTTTTATTTACACGAGGACAATTATGCAAGTATAAAATAGTACTCTGGAAAAGAGCCTGGGTGCAGAGCTGACCACAGGCAAAAAAGATGGTCTGGAGGTACTGGCATTCGTTACTGTCCTCCCCTGATTCTTTGAAATGTCTAGGATGTCTAGGATGCCAACTACTATTTGTGACGTCTCAATGCTGCAATAGCAGGGGTATGGACAGATATTAACAGAAAAGAGGCAAAATCTTGAGAGTCCTCCACCTACATGCATATATATAGGTGGAGGACTGCAGATGTGTGGAATGCCCTGTAGAATTAAGCCTTCAGCTGTTTAGGGGCCAGAAAACACTTGGTGACCCAGTCCAATTGCCCCTCCTGTTTGCTCTCCCATATCTATTCCCCAGTGCAATACAGACATCACTAGGGATCCTGGTCTTCCACGATAAAAAAAGCAAAATTGTCCAATAAAACACACACAAAAATCCATGTTTTTCTGTAGCAAGCCCCCTACAATGCTGACTGGCCAAGAGGCCCTTGCAGTGGCCCTGCCCCTCATTGCTGATTGGCCAAAAGAGCTGCTGTTCATGCAGCCCCCACCCATCACTAGTAACTGGCAGAGAGGGGTAGGGCCTCACAATGGGCAGCCCTCTCTGCCAATCAGAGGCAGAGGGAGGAAAGGGTGGCTGCCATCTTTGCTGCTGCCTTGTGTGCCAGCGGCTTTTCCCCTGCAGCAGGCTGCTGCAGCACCCATAAGAAACACTGGCTCCCAGTGGGGAACCAGCATTTTATTTTCAGTAACAATTTTTTCCCAGCTGTTCTAAAGATTCTCTGTAAAAACACAAATTCCACATTTTTTCATGGCAAACTGATTTCTAGGATCCCTGGAGATCACACACAGCATATGAACCACTGCACATGCAAAGGAAATGAAAGCTCTCACTCACAAGTGTTGGGATTTCTCCAAAACTAAATGTGCATTGGCATTTAAGTCTTAAGTGTGAGCTAACTACAGACATTATACAGCACTTCATTGCTTTCTACAGATGGGCCATTCATTGTTCAACAGAAAAGACATGGGCCAGTGAAGACATTGAGACAAAGTTATCAAAAGAATTAAGATTTATTAATAAAAACCTTTGTGACAAAAAAAAACACATCAGATTTCTAAGTGCGATGCTTGAGAAACTCAGACTAACTGAGGTGAATTTCAATTCTCCCTGATGAGGAATTTCTGTTTTGTTTTTGTTTTATCTGGGTTTTGCTTTTTAAAGTTTTGCCTGTTAAAACTGAATCTGTCCTATTGTCTCCTTCATGACCCCAGTTAGAGTGAGACAGGAGTGGCCAGTACAGCAGCAGTGGTAGGCAATTCTCCTCTTCCTGCCCTCAGAGGCATAAGTAGAGAAAGGGGAAACAAAAGGGGAAAAAGACATGTCACTGAGCACAGAGGGGAAGTGGGAGGGTGTTCAGGAGGTGGGGGAAAAGATTTGTATTTGTTTCCCAAGGTATATTCCATCTTTGAACATTTCTGTACAATAGTTTCTGTTCAATTGAAAATTAGAATGAATCAAAATCCACCCAAGGTACAGCTTTCTGTTGCAGAATAATGCAAGATACTTCTGAAACCCCCAAATTTGTTTTGTTTGTTTTTATATATATATATATATATATATATAGTGTATGTCTATATGAATAGAAATAACACAGAGAAATGCACATTTATTACTAAAATCTGTTTCAGTTCAGTTTCTACTGATAAAGCAGAAGTACTAAATAAAAAATATTAAGTCTTACCTGAAAGTGTAAAGCTGACTAATTTCCGAGAATGCTGACCAGAAGCACCTTCCTCTGTGCCTTCCATCCCCATCTGAAGAGAGGGAAAAATAAAAGTGCATCATGTATCATTACAGTTTTCATTTATTTTTATTTACACGAGGACAATTATGCAAGTATAAAATAGTACTCTGGAAAAGAGCCTGGGTGCAGAGCTGACCACAGGCAAAAAAGATGGTCTGGAGGTACTGGCATTCGTTACTGTCCTCCCCTGATTCTTTGAAATGTCTAGGATGTCTAGGATGCCAACTACTATTTGTGACGTCTCAATGCTGCAATAGCAGGGGTATGGACAGATATTAACAGAAAAGAGGCAAAATCTTGAGAGTCCTCCACCTACATGCATATATATAGGTGGAGGACTGCAGATGTGTGGAATGCCCTGTAGAATTAAGCCTTCAGCTGTTTAGGGGCCAGAAAACACTTGGTGACCCAGTCCAATTGCCCCTCCTGTTTGCTCTCCCATATCTATTCCCCAGTGCAATACAGACATCACTAGGGATCCTGGTCTTCCACGATAAAAAAAGCAAAATTGTCCAATAAAACACACACAAAAATCCATGTTTTTCTGTAGCAAGCCCCCTACAATGCTGACTGGCCAAGAGGCCCTTGCAGTGGCCCTGCCCCTCATTGCTGATTGGCCAAAAGAGCTGCTGTTCATGCAGCCCCCACCCATCACTAGTAACTGGCAGAGAGGGGTAGGGCCTCACAATGGGCAGCCCTCTCTGCCAATCAGAGGCAGAGGGAGGAAAGGGTGGCTGCCATCTTTGCTGCTGCCTTGTGTGCCAGCGGCTTTTCCCCTGCAGCAGGCTGCTGCAGCACCCATAAGAAACACTGGCTCCCAGTGGGGAACCAGCATTTTATTTTCAGTAACAATTTTTTCCCAGCTGTTCTAAAGATTCTCTGTAAAAACACAAATTCCACATTTTTTCATGGCAAACTGATTTCTAGGATCCCTGGAGATCACACACAGCATATGAACCACTGCACATGCAAAGGAAATGAAAGCTCTCACTCACAAGTGTTGGGATTTCTCCAAAACTAAATGTGCATTGGCATTTAAGTCTTAAGTGTGAGCTAACTACAGACATTATACAGCACTTCATTGCTTTCTACAGATGGGCCATTCATTGTTCAACAGAAAAGACATGGGCCAGTGAAGACATTGAGACAAAGTTATCAAAAGAATTAAGATTTATTAATAAAAACCTTTGTGACAAAAAAAAACACATCAGATTTCTAAGTGCGATGCTTGAGAAACTCAGACTAACTGAGGTGAATTTCAATTCTCCCTGATGAGGAATTTCTGTTTTGTTTTTGTTTTATCTGGGTTTTGCTTTTTAAAGTTTTGCCTGTTAAAACTGAATCTGTCCTATTGTCTCCTTCATGAACACAATATTTTGGAGGAGATTTTGCTTGTTCCCGTGCATAGTCTGCATCCTTTTGTGTCACTTATCACAAAGATGGACCTTTAGTTTACAGTTCAGTTGAAGGGATCAGTTGAGTGTCAGAGAACTGGTTCCAAAAAGAAACACTAGCCTCTCATCCAGCAGAGAACAGGCAAGTTTCCCCACACTGATGGAAATGAATCTCTAAGGCAAGGTGAAGGAAGACTCCAGACGTGTTAACCAAATGATAACATTTGACAAAGTGATATACCTGAACACACTTTAGGTTGTACACTGGTTTATATTTGCAATAAAACATGAAGTTACCTGTCACATTTTACATTTAAAAGAAATAAAAATAAATTAAGAAAAAATGCAAGTAAATGAGGGCATAAAAGGAAATGCAGTGGAAATTATATGACCTGCTTCCATAAATATAACCATAGCGGGAGTGTAAACTTATAGAAATATACTACAGATCAGCAGCAATTACCAATAGGTTGGATCCGCCTTGGACATCTCACTGAAAGCCAAAGAGAAGTTATGGGACTGATGAAGAAATCAGTGGATAAGGTTCAGTGGCCTGTCTTGGTCAGACTCCCTTATAAATGACTATTAAAGTCCCCTCTGGTCTTGGAATTTTGAAACACTGGGTCGGGGAAATGGGGAAACCTCTGCTTTATATCAGATGAAAATATAATGGCCATCTTTTCAACTACTTTATTCTTAACATTTTTACAAATATTGCTACATCAGTTTTTGGTTTTCATATGCATACCATAATTAGATAAAAAAAACAAAGCAACAGTAAGAATTAATCTGTACTAGATATCTAAGAATTTTCTCTAGCAAAATCCTAGCTAAATATGAAAATGATGAAAAAAAGAGCGATAACACTGGTGTCTCAGGTCTCCATTGGCATTGATGATTTTCAGAAAGGATGTACGGTAAGAGGAAGTTGCACTGTTTATATTGCAGGTCATATATCCTTTTCTTACTATTACGGCTATGATTCACCATTGCGTACACAATAACATTTCTCAAGGTAGTGTCCTAAATTTCATCGTCTTTCTCATTGACTAGGAAACTGCTATTCCAAATGACTTTATATGGGTAAATAAACTGTCAGCACGCACCAAAAGTGACCTGGCTGTCAAAGAACAATGGGTTAATTCCAGCTCAGTTTCCTCTCCTTTGCGCACATACTTGCGAAGCAAATGGAAATGTCACTGGCAAGGTTAGTCTAGACATCAAGGGTCACAGGAACTGTGTAGTTTTCAATTTACGGTTTTTGGCTCATGCTCGTATCGATTGCTTGTTATAAATGTTATTCATTATAGAAAAGAACTTGCTGATTCTAAGTATATTTTTTGTGCTGAGTCATTGTCACAGTTTAGACCACACTACTGATGGCTAAATGACAGACTGTAGCACCCAATTATTATGTAAATTATTATATTTACAGAAAATATGCCTCCACATATTTCAGCTTTAAATGAACAATATGTTCAGAGGCGGAATAAGCAATTTTGATGCCCTGCATAGTGAGGCTTCCACCTTCCAGGGCAGGGGGAAGGTGTTCCAAGCCACAGTTTAGACCACACTACTGATGGCTAAATGACAGACTGTAGCACCCAATTATTATGTAAATTATTATATTTACAGAAAATATGCCTCCACATATTTCAGCTTTAAATGAACAATATGTTCAGAGGCGGAATAAGCAATTTTGATGCCCTGCATAGTGAGGCTTCCACCTTCCAGGGCAGGGGGAAGGGGTTCCAAGTAGAAGAATGCAGCTCATACTGATGCTAAATGAGCACCCGAGGTGGTACCCCACTCACACACACCCTTAATTATACTATGTAATCTCCTTACGCCTATCTGTTCTGAGGCAGTTTCACTGCCAAGGAGTCCTCAGTAAAGCAGACACAGACCCCAATGCATAAGATCGGTCAGGATCCATTTTTATTTGATTTCAATATAAACAGAAGAGCAATTTCAATTCTTTCTTTTGATTCCACTAATGGTAAATAGAGAATGTAGAAAACTTATTTAGAGAGGCAATGTTCTATCTCATCTGGGAAAAATCTGAGCAGAGAATAGACTTGTTTTCTTTCCAGCAGAAAACGATTTACCACAGATAAAAAGCATGAGCATGTCTTGTCTCTGTCATAACTGACATAACCCACATATCAGGGTTTCTATGAAACATGCCAACAGGATGCTGTATCCTCCAGCTTCACACTGGAAACACTGAAAGGTTTTAGGTCCTACAATGATGCCAGATAGTTCTATGTGGTGTATTTAGTAAATACCACTATGGACTAAATCCATCATGGAAAAGTCTCACAACTAGTTGGAATCCTGCGCTCCCAGCAAAAAAAAAACCAAATGAGTATGCTTAGATAACATATACTTATATTAGAGGACAAGTACTGTTATTTTGAGTATAAAAAGCATTAGGGACCCTGAACTGACTTCTGAAAGAAATCAAGTGAATACTGAAAGAAAGACAGCAAAATAATGTTCACATATAACCTCAGATATTTGAGGGTGGCCACTGGTCCAGTTTTATACCGGACCATCCTGTTTTTAAACCCTTTGTCCCGTGTCTGTTTCTCAATGAGGACCAGACTGCAAAAAGTCCTGTTTTTCAGTTCATTGGTGGAAATACATGTCAATCAATTGTCCTCACGATTCTACTGGCTGTGCCTAGAGCTCGGGTATGAAAAGCTAGGGGGAGCAGAGTTCCCACCAGGGAGTCAGGGAGGTGGTCTTCTTGTGTAGCCCCATCCCTTGCTGCTGATTGGCCAAGGGGCCCAGTGGCTAATCAGCAGTGAGGGGTGGGGCTAAGGAGGGTTGCCCCACTGGAGTTTTAACTGTTACAAAGTGAAGACAAAGGCAATCCCAAATGCAAAAAAATACTATCATGGAAGAAATACATCCCTTAACACAGCCTTCCAGAGGAAAAAATGCTCATGATAAGCATTAAATTAGTGTCACAGCAGTGTTTATTCAGGACACTTGCAAGTAATGCATACACACACACACACACGTGCGCACGCACACAAAATAGGATGAACAGTCTTGATCCTGCAAAGTGCTGAGTAGCCCTTATAAGATGCATTATAAACTCACACTGAAGGTGTTCAGTACCTTGCAGAATCAGACCCAAAGCGCACAACTTTCAAAATCAGGCCCAAAGTGCACAGTTTTCAAAATATACTCAGACAAGTCACTGTGTGATCCTCCACCCTCCTGATCCAACAGCTAACATCTGCCGGGTCGCAAGGATTAGTCTAACTCAGGAGTGGGCAAAATACAGCCCACAGGCTGTATCTGGCCAACAGACGAACTTTGTCTGATCTGCAGTGGGTTCCTCGGTCCCACCTAGCCCAGGTGGCATCCGGCCCATGGTGAATCCTGCCACCCCCTGGATAGGCAGTGGGGCTGGGGCAGCTCTACAGCTGAACTGCCTTTGAAGGCAGCCCAGGCAGCGGCAGCTCCTTCTAGCCGCCA